ATGAGCATGACCCTGTGAGAGCATTGGTTGAGAGTGGAAGTGGCTTATCAAGAGTCACTACTGGTTTAAAAAATGTCAAGGGACGGTGAAGGAGGTGTTGGAAAAATTCTCTATAGTTTTTCATTACATGAAAAAAGTGGAACAATTAAGAAAGGAAAATTTAAAAACAAACAAACAAGAGCAAAGTGGAGTGTTTAGAGACATTGACTCCCAGAAAAGAACTTGGAAAGAAAAGGAGACTATTTTTAACGTTCCAGTTCTTGACTTGAATTCTCTTTCAAGACAATGTTTTCCTAGAAACAAAAAGAGGACTGAGTGCAGCATCTCAGCATTAGCCCCAGGGTACAGATACATTTTTCAGGGCAGTTGCATTGAAAAAGAAGATTTTGCCTTGATAAGACTGGAGGAAGCACTTCCCTTTCTTGGAGGGAGCATTCTGCTCATTCTGCTTTTTGGAGTTAGAAATGCATTCCACAAGACAGATCACAAATAAAAATCTATAGCTACTATTTGGATGGTGGGATCCAAGTACACAGGAACCTGGATTTTACCCTGAAAAGGAGAAAAGGAGTAAACTCTTGATTTATCAAGATTCATCTCTTGAACTTCATAAAAAGCAAACCTGTAAGCAAATTTAAGTGACTGCAGAAAAATAAATATTTATAACAAATCTGAGTGTGTAGTAGTTCACATTTATACCTGTTCCCGTGTATTTTTTTCCTCTCCCCTCTACACATGACCTCTGCTGCAAGACATATACATGTGATCAATCAGCCCCATGTACATTTCTCCTTTATCTCATGCTGTTTGGAACATGATTCCCATGCAGCAGCAACTCAACCTCTCTTGTCAATCCTGAGGATCCCTTACACCTCCTCATCTCCAAGACTCAGCATGCACTTCTTTCTAAATATCCTTTCCCTCTTTTACCTTCAATCTCCTCAACCCATTGACCCAACCCTAACGAGTACCTCTTCAGTAAACTTTCCCATACATTCTTGGATAAAATGAGGTGCTCTGTTATGTTGCTCTTCCCCTTAGTCTATGTACTTATTATAATAATCAAATATCTGTTATCTTTATTTGTTTACATGTTAACATCTCATGCCAAAAGTTGCCGAAGTAAAATAAAATATTATGGATAAACTTTTATCTATTCAAAAATTTTACTGATATATAGGTAATCAGCCACAAGGGAAGGAGGTTAATTGAGTTACGAGGGGTCCCCCAGAAGGCTACCCAAAGACAAAAATTCCAGTGAATGAAGCTCATTGAGAAAGTGAAGGAAAGATTAGCACAGATGTAAGAGAGTGAGAAGCCGATGAAGCAGCCAGGGCAAGATACCTCTGGCTGAAGGGAGAGCAATTCCTCTGGTAATGGGTAACTAACCCAGGACTGGATACAAAATAAACTAAGGACACTATCCATGAAAATTAATGCCTGGGAAAGGGAGAGTTCCCCTTCCCTCACCTTTCCAGCCCCCTGGTTTCCGGGAACCTAATTAGCACCATTCACTCCTACCTTTTAGATTGGCCAGGACTTTCCCTAGGAGCTAACCACTTTCCTTTGAAGTGTAAATACCCTGTGAAGGCTCCAGGCCAAAAGCCTTGGCTAGAGGAGCAAGTCTCATTTATCAAACTCTGCTTAGGTAAGCATGCTTCCTGCCTGAAAACGTTACACACAATCATAAATCACTTTTGAAACCTTGTCAACCATGTGTCGTTTTAGACTAGAAAATTTATGACACTAGATAGCCTATAAATGTTGTGAAAAACTGGTAAGGGGCGCTCAGAATCTGGAGCTGATCTCCTCTGGGCCTGCTGGTGTAAAATAAAGTTTGGTTTCTCCCACTCTTTGAGCACACTTTGCCGCTACTTACCTGATTCCTGCAACACTCCTACAGGGGAAAGGGGCAACCAGTGAAAGGCACAGACCTTGGAGTCATCCCTTCTACTTGGTAACAGAGCTAGAGAATTTATACACCAACTCCTGTCATTCATTGGATAAGAGCCACTGCCAAGAGCTATCAACTCTGCAGATCTAGATGTAAAAGCAAGACCTTGGGGAAAACGTTTCATTGCTGGCAGTTGGAGATCAAGCCAGTGTGCACGGAAGCAAGAAGAGCAAGAGTATAAGACAGAGTATGAGCCCTGACAGCTGTTACCAGGGGCCTGAACCACACTGACATGGCTCCATACAGACTGTGTGCACGTTAGGGAATGTGAGCTGACACAAGACAGCAGTCAGAGGGACAGATTTTTCCAATGGTCCAGACATGAGGAATATTAGAAATGGGAACTCCTGAATTCTATTATTGCCACTAGGTTTTCTAGACTCACCCTTTCCCTTTGCCCAGTTCTGTTTTCAACAACCTTCTTGAGTGTTTTCTAGTCACGAATCTTGTGGTCAGGAGTTTTTGAGACTCTGAAAGGCAAATCTTCTCTGTATGGCTTCCACATGGAAGGCCCAGGAGACAGGTATGCAGGATCCAAGTCTGGAAAAGGATAAAAGGGATGCTCAGCTTCAGATAAGGAAGAAAGAATTGGGGGGACACAAAATGAGTCAGAGCTCAGCCTGAGCTTTGTGGGACTTGGGGAAAAAGGCAAAGTCACAAATGCCAGGTCCTAGTCAGGAGGCCCAAACCAGTGAGTAGATCTCAATCCAAGGGATTGAGAGTGAGAAATGGTTTCAGTGTTTATGATCTATAAGGAAACAATAGATTAGGCCTGGGAATCTGGGAAATTGGCCATATATTAAAACTTATTCTGTTGGAATTCTGGAGAATGAACTGACCAACCCAGGAAGCCTATAGGTAAATGAGGCAGATTTAAATTAGAATGCTGACATCTGATTGCTATTTCTTTAGTTAACAGAGAGCATTAATTCAAAAGATTATGATATCCAGAAAACTTTTCCTTTACTTGGAAATATTCATCAACATTATCTCCAATTATTTAATATAATTTGCTTTAGAAATCTGTGTAGCATTGAAATGTATGAAGATCTAAAATATCATCTACAGAATTAATGGCCAATAAAATCTTAAGAAAACATTTGCAGCATTGGGCAAAGCATTAATATTAGTAAAAATAAAAATGATATATTTTGATATTCTGATCACAAGAAAACTATAACTAGCAAAGGAAATGTATATGTTAAATTATTATGTACAAGAATCATTCTACTTTGGAAATGTACATAAAAGCATCATGTTGTACATCCTTTAAAAACCTATAAATAAAACACTTAAAATTCCAAAATAAAGTCTATAAAGTAGTACAATTCACTGCTCAATAGAAAAAGAAACAAGTTGTTTATACATGTATGAAATATATTCATTCTGTTTATAGTCCCATAAATATATTCCAAAACATATTACCTTTCCTTTTTCTACACAAAAGCAAATGTTAAAATAATAAAATTTTACTAGTATGACAATATGTAAATCAATGGATGTGTAACTGATGTGATTCTGCAATTTGTATACGGGGTAAAAATGGGATTTCATAACCCACTTGAATCAAAGTGTGAAATATGATATATCAAGAACTATGTAATGTTTTGAACAACCAACAATAAAAAAATAAAAAAAAATAATAATAAAATTTTGTGTTAATTTCAAATTAAAGGGAATGTGCGTGTTCATGTATGTTAAAAATTAAAATTATTTCAAATTTTTTTTTAAAAAATAGTGCAAGTTCTGGCAAATAAGAAACTTTTATTTATTTTTATGTGGTGCTGAGGATCGAACCCAGGTCTTGCCCATGTAGGCAAGCACTCTACCACTGAGCCACAATCCCAGCCCCAATATTTCAAATTTTCTAGAACACATTTTAAAAGTAAGAAATTTTCTAATATAAGTTATACATTAATATTAAAAAGACAATTTAAAAATTTCCAAGAATCATTTGCCAGAAAAATCTTATTAAAGCCTAACATGAACCCTGCTCTGGAATTCTAAGAGAAAAAGAAAATGCGTCAAAGGTGAACGGAGTCATATATTGGAATTTTCATATATTGGAATTTCTACATTCTGAAGATTTTTCTACATTTTATTTTAAAAACACCCTTCCAATAATTCTCTCTAAAACCAAATAAACCTTAAAAGGAACTACTTTTGGTTTGTACTTACACACCCCTTATTTGATTCCATGAGGAAAACACTTTGTACTCTACTTTTCCAAACAGAATGATTAAAATTAAACCTTTTTAACATTCCATATAATGAACTAAGAGTCTGAATTTTATTTCTTTGACACAAATTAGTGTACAAAGGAACAAAGGGCATATCTGAAGGAGTTTTAGTGGCAGTCAACTTGAGAATCATTAATAAGCAGTTCTCATAAAAATGGAAATATACTGTCCAATAATTAACAAGAGCAAACAATATGGCTTTCAAATTCTGAACAAAGTTTTTTCAGGACAGGTATAATTTCCATTTCAGGAAAAGATCATATTCATCAGAAAATTAGGAGGGCATTAATTGGGTTTTGACATAAATATAAATATTTAAAAGTTTCTTATTTGCCAGAACTTGCACTATGGGGATTCAATCTCAGGGGGCTTAGGTATTCAAAATCATTAGGTTACTTTCCTGAGGGGATAGAGGGCTCTTGGCATTGCCTTGGCTTTGTTAAGTCAGGATAAGAATGCTAATAAAAGGGGCATTCAGTCATGTGAAACAGATCATTCTTTTTGAAGAGAAGCACTTCTCAGATGTGAGGAACTGGGCAAAGCAGATAAATATTTTAAAAATATTAGTAAATAGCCTTTTCCATAATAATGAAAGTTGGTTGCTTGTAAGTTAGAAAGGAAATAATTTTATGAGATGAGGATATGATTCAGTTTCCAAACATGAAAATAAGGATTTGTAAGTACAAAGAAAAAGGGACAAAGTGCACTAACAATTATTGACCTATTTTATCTTTTTGGTTGTTGTTGAGATTTTCAAAAACTGGAATAATAAACTTGGCTGTAGAGGATGACAGTTTTCCCACGTATGAAAACAGAAAGTCATGAGCGGCGATCTGACCTCTCCTTCAGCAGTCCAGCTGTGCTATGAGAACTTGAACACGTCCTGTATCAAAACTCCCTACTCTCCAGGCCCCCGCCTGATTCTGTATGCAGTGTTTGGCTTTGGGGTTGTGCTGGCTGTTTTTGGAAACCTGCTGGTGATGATTTCAATTCTTCATTTCAAGCAATTGTATTCTCCAGCCAATTTTTTGGTCGCCTCTTTGGCCTGTGCTGACTTCTTGGTAGGAGTGACTGTGATGCCCTTCAGCATGGTCAGGTCAGTGGAGAGCTGCTGGTATTTTGGGGACAGCTACTGTAAATTCCACTCTTGTTTCGAGGGGTCATTCTGTTATGCTTCTATCTACCACTTGTGCTTCATCTCCATTGACAGATACATGGCCGTTACAGACCCTCTGATCTATCCAACCAAGTTCACTGCATCTGTTTCTGGCATCTGTATTGCCTTCTCCTGGCTCTTTTCAATTATTTACAGCTTTTCCCTTCTCTATACTGGGGCAAATGAAGTTGGGCTGGAGGAGCTAGTAAGTGCTCTCACCTGTGTGGGAGGCTGTCAAATTGCAGTGAATCAGAGTTGGGTTTTGATAGATTTTCTATTATTTTTTGTGCCCATGCTTGTGATGGTAACAGTTTACTCCAAGATTTTCCTCATCGCTAAACAACAGGCTAGGAAAATTGAAAGCATGAGCAATGAAACAGCAAAATCGTCAGAGAGCTACAAAGACAGAGTGGCCAAGAGGGAGAGAAAAGCAGCCAAAACGCTGGGAATCGCAGTGATAGCATTTCTGATATCGTGGTTACCGTACTTCATTGATTCCATCATCGATGCCTTCCTGGGTTTCATCACACCCACGTATGTTTATGAAATATTAGTTTGGATTGCCTACTATAACTCAGCAATGAATCCCTTGATTTATGCTTTCTTTTATCCTTGGTTTCGAAAAGCCATCAAACTAATTGTCACTGGTGAAGTCTTGAGAGAGAATTCCTCAATAATAAACTTGTCTCTTGAGTAGCTTCTTATTTTAAATTGGGAGAATCAAAAAGAGACTCACTTCAGATACATCGTGGGGAAAAGAACTGGTCATACATGTGCAAGATTTCCAAATGTGAAATAACTAAATTATGCTTCAATTTGATCTGAACACTTAAATTCATGTGCAATGGTCTTTGATAAATATAACATTAAAACCCAATTGTATTGCAAATAGCATGACCTCAGAGCCAGAAACGTCTGAAATCCAACAGCAACTCTGCCATTTATCTCTGTGATCTTGAGATACTTAGTTTTTTTTGAAGATTCTTTCTACATTTTATTTTAAAAACACCTTTCCAATAATTCTTACTAAAAACAAATAAACCTTAAAAGGAACTACTTTGGGTTTGTACTTACACATCCCTTATTTGATTCCACAGGAAAAACACCTTGTACTCTACTTTTCCAAATCAGAATGATAAAATTAAACCTGTAACATTCCATGTAATGAACTAAGATTCTGAATTTTATTTCTTTGACACAAATTAGTGTACAAAAGAATAAAGGACATATCTGAAGGAGTTTAGTAAGCCTTTCCTTGTAGTATCCTTGAGAAAATTTAGGAGAATAAATATGAATGAACTATTGAAATGTATTTTTAAATTCTAAATTCTGGCATTTATTTCTTTATATTAGTTTAAATCCTGGACATATCGTTTCTCCATTCTTCCATGTCAATTTCCTTTAAAAAAGTGAATGCAACTAAGAGAAACTTAGGTGCTGGCTCTTCGCTCAGAGAGGTCCAAGGGAGTCTACACAATCTGTTATTCAGGTTTGTGGGTCTGAAAGTTCAATTTAAGAGCCATGAAAAATAAATGAAGAAATATATTAATTGTAGTACCATTCAATATTTTAAAATGGGAAAGAATAATAGCATTATAAATACCATTTGTTTACAACTTTACTAACTGTGGATTGTGTATTTACTTCCAGGGAGTCAGAGAGTAAGTGAGAAAGAAGAGTGAGTCTCAGACTGCAGTCAGGTTGCTTAGAGCTATCTGGAGCACAAAATTTTCATATAAATTATTTCAGAGGAACAATACTATGTTATAAGGAAAAGTACAAAGTTCTATTAAGAGATGTAGATGTGGGAGGGAATAATTTATTTGTTGTGATTCAACATTTGAACATCTAAATTTCTATTCATCTACACTTCTATATTAAAAATCACTGTTTTTATTGTAAAGGATTATTTTCCCTTAAGGCTCCTAGGGGCCATTCAGATAAACTCTAAGTACTAAAGCAGAATTGGCCCACAAAAATTAACCAAAATTGTGATTTTTGTTATTTCATACTCTTAAATCATTTGGTTCCCTTGTTCCTCTTCTCCCCAACAAATCCATTCATTCGCCTAAGCCTCATTGAGATTACAAATTGCCTTTAACTTTTCTCCATGGACACTAGTGCATTAGTATGAATAATAATATGATTATGTTTGCAAAATGTGTGCACCTTTAGTAACTCATATATTTAACAGTAACTTGGTAATTTTCCTTTTTCACGTATAAAAGTTTAAAACAAATGAGATTCTGGATGCATTTTTAGCTTCCCACTTTTTAGAAGCCAGGTTGTTCATCCTGTCATGTTATTTTCTGCATTTTAATGATCCAATGTGCATATTCATTTCCCTAAAAAAATCTGTTCCTCAGGAGATTGTCTTTTCTTGTTCCTCTTTATGCCTCTAGCAGGGACTCTCCACTATATATGGAATGTAATAGTTGATCAATAAATGTTGACTGAATAAATATGTGTGCATTTCCTTTAAATATAGAAATACACACACACACACACACACACACTTACACCACGATTGGAACCCAAGGGTGCTTAATCATTGAACCACATCCCAGCCCTTTTTCTTCCTTCCTTCCTTCCTTCCTTCCTTCCTTCCTTCCTTCCTTTCTTTTTTTTATTATTTTTATTTTGAAACAGAGTCTTGCTAAGTTGCTTAGAGCCTCACTAAATTGCTGAGACTGGCTTTGAACTTGCAATCCTCCTGAGATACTGGGATCAAAGTCATGTGCCACCATGCCAAGCTATATACAGAAATATTTTGATGAGTTCATATAAGAATGTGCATGTTTGGGCTGGGGAGATAGCTCAATGGTAAAGCACCTGCCTAGCATACATGAGGCTTGAGTTCAATCCCCATCACCACATAAAAAAATAAACAACAATAAAAAATGTTATTTAAAAAAAAGAATGTGTATGTCCACATTGAGTGAATATGATTATGAATGGATCATTATACACAAAGGTAGTTATCCGACACTACTGTGGACATGCTACGTGTTAATTTTGTGGTATTTGTGAGTCTGGCTGTCCATGGGACTAGGATTGGGCCTTGTAAGGATAGCCTGTTGGTTATCCCTCTTTGGAACCAACAACAAGTCAAAGTGCAATTTCTTTATGAGGATTGCCTCAATGTTCCTCTCTTAAATGGGTTGGCCTGGTTCTATAGATCCATGGCTATCTCTTCCACACTCTACTATACACATATACTAAATTTTATTTCTGAATTACCTATGGAGGATTTTATGGTAATTCTATTAAAATTATAATTTTAACTGGAAATAGAACTCTAGTTCAAAAAGAAATCCCTCGGAACTTGAAAACTATTTCTCCATTGCCTTCTAGGACCTAGTGGGATACTGAGAAATTTGATAGTCATTTTCCATCTTAAAACAACTGTCTTTCTCTGGCCACTGAGCCTACTTTTAGGTCCACTCCTTTTAGCTTCCCCATAGAAAAGAAAATATGTGGCACTTGCCTTTCTGTGATGGCAGACACTTTGAAGTGAAATCTTAGACCTTTCTTTAACCCAGAAGAAACTTTCTCCAGAATTGCTTTTATTATATTCATTCCTTTCTTCTCTTTGGTGGCTCTTTTTGTAACTTGGAACTTTGGTCTAAATCAATTGAGAGGTAAAAGAAAGAATAGCCTCGAGATTGTGTGTATGTGTGTGTGTGTGTGTTTGTGTGTGTTCACACACGTGCATGCACAGGCTGTGTAATTCTCTGGTTTTCTAATTGGTTTGATCCCATCTGCTTTCTATTTGGGGGGCATTTCAATGGAATTTCAGAAGTAATATAACTAAAACTACATGCTCAATTTGTTCAACAGGGGTGATCTTCAGACGATATGTAAAAATACAACCATTCCACAGTTAAAATTTTGGAATGCTTAAATGGCTGTTTATAGGACAAAGATACATATTTACTTTGAAAGTAGCTATTGCTATGGTGTGAGCCACCATGCAAGCTCACCTCACACCTCCCAAGACTTTTCATGATCCACAAAAGCAATGACAAATATTAGGCAAAGGAAGGCATCTTCAGGGCATGTCCACCTCTGAGAGGAGCCTCCTTTCTGACAGATCATGGCCCACATCTTGCAAGACTGTATTTTCAGTGTTTGCATATCAAGTCTGAATGTTGATCCATAAATTAAGTGGTCACATTTTGAAGGGGACTTGCTCAACAATAAATTTATTTTTGATCATGTTATCTTAAATGGGGGAAATTGAATAATGGACTCAGAATTAACACATTATTATTTAATTATTATTTATTCATTATTACCTTCTAAAATTAAATGAGGTCTCTTTTCTTCATGCAGTCACCCTCCAGGATAGAGCAGAAATGGAATAGAGAACATCAACAATGGTACAGAAGTTTTAAATCATACCCCATAGTGTGGTAGCCTTGAAGGACCAAGCTCTCAATGTACAAATGTAGGCTCTGTGATGAGGTACATCTTTGGGGGAAGCTTGCATACCACACAGATCCCTGATGGGGTAAGCCTCCTGGGATCCCTTCCAACTCCTGTTTTGAGTATGTCCATGAGAAGAAACCTTATGACTTTTGCATCAGGGATCATTCTGTCCAGGGAACCACTCCATTGAAGAGAGTACTAGTAAGATTATTCAAGTTTAACTCCCTGTTTAGCTTTCCTTATTCATTCATCTCACTGTGCTGCCCTGTGCTCATTTTGAGCAGAAGGATGATAGAATTGCAGATATGGTGGGAGGAGAAGTGGGCTGATGAGGAGAGAAGCCTATGCTGTCACTGTCCAGGAGGTAAAGGAGCTGGAGTTCTTGTGGCTTAGAGAACACATGGGAGGGAGAAGGGAACCCTTCCTGCAATTGCTCTATTTCAAGGTACACCAAGTCTCTGTGACACATCCCATAGGAATTGGTAAAGAAAATGCAAGTTTTGAGGAGAGTGACCATGAGCCTCAGGTAACTGGGGAGTGGGAATGCTCCTGCAGAGATTATTGAAGACTTTAGGTTTGCACTGCATGAGAGTGTCATGATCTGGACGTTCAATATACAGAAACCATGCCCACAAAGTGAATGTTAGAAGCAGACCAAATTTGGTATAAAATTATGTGGTCCTTCCTCCCCCACACACTTTCTCTTTTTCTCTGAGGAATAGATACAGAAAAGTGGGGGGTAAGGGATGAGGGACAAGAAATTAAAAAGCAGGTATTTCCTTTTCCTAAAACCAAGCCCTTTAAGCTCATACCTGCTTCCTGGAGGCAGCGAGGACAGGAATATTCAAGTAGGTATAGGTTGAGGTTTTAAATTGGAGTGCCCTGAAACTGAAATTTTCAATACTCAAAGTGACTGGACCATTATGAGTCATACCTGAGGTATAAACAAAAGAACATGGGAGGCTGTTATCACAGAAAATGTGATTGCTTCTTGTTCGTCATCATACTCAAAGTAGTCCATAAGCAGTTAATGAATATTTAACTCATCAAACCCAAATGGATTATATAGCGAATCAAATTAATTCAGTGATAATGCTCACTTGTTGAATGGCTTAGATAATTACTGAAATGAATTAATTGCATATAAACAATGCTCATCACTCTTCGTTTATTGTTTAGCGCTTTGGCCCAACTGTTTGTTTGGTGACCTGTAGCCTTTAATCCATAGAGACAGGGTACAGATCATTTCTCTCCTCTTCCTCTCATTAATAGTCTTCTGAGTTTGGGCACTGCCATGACTACAGGGCATCATTATCACATTTTTCTCTTTCCTTGGTCATAATGAGGGAGTTTCACACTCTCAGTCACTGGGGAGGAAGTCAAGTTAGTGGGCT